TTAATAGTAATATGGTGATTCAAACTGAGATAATCTGAGACAACCTTTCAAAATTCTTTGTATATTCTGTTTTTCAGATGTCTGTTATAATATAGTACCTACATGCTGTATGTATTCAAATAAGTGTTTTTAATAAGAATAGGAAATGATTAAATCATATCAAAATGTATGTCAAGAATTAGTGTTTTATTTAATAACCCACCCGAATTTTTTAGTTTTTCATATCACGATTGGCGGACTTTTTACCGACCATGACAACAAAATCAATCAGTCAGGTGTGATATATCATTTGTAATACAATGCCGATTCATATTTCTTTAGATTTCTTCAGATTTCTTCAGATTTTTTCAGATTTCTTCAGATTTCTTCAGATTTCTTCAGATTTCTTCAGATTTCTTCAAATTTCTTCAGATTTCTTCAGTCTTCAGATTTTTCAGTTTTCAGATTTCTTCCGATTTCTTCACATTTCTTCAGATTTCTTCAGATTTCTTTAGGTTTCTTCAGATTTCTTCACATTTCTTCAGATTTCTTCCTCGGGAAAGAAAAATGTTTACTGATTCCACACAAGCGAATGTTAATTTTGCCTGTCTTGGTTTAGCATTACCTGGCTCGCCAATCCTAATGCGAGGCGCTCTTTTTAGCTTTTCTTATACGTGAGAGGAGCGAGCAATAGACTAGCAAGCTATAGTATATAGGTAAAATTTAGCACTATCTGCGAGTTTTTAGTCCCGATTGAAGTTGCAGCCAAAACTTGAGGATTTTCGTGTGAATTCCAAATCGCATTGAACACTTCTTCTGCCACGTCGTGTGCAACATTGTAGTAAGTCTCCGGTACACCTGCGGACGTCATCTTGAACTACGGTTTTCACAACCTTCTTCATACTGTAAATCGACAAAACACTTTAACTTGTATTTGTGGTAACACGACTCCTGTCCGACAGCGACATCTGTCCGACAGCGACATCTGTCCGACTCAGGGTACCAGAAAAAAACGACATCTGTCCGAAATTGTGATTTGATTTCAATACGACTCATTTCCAATTAGAGACATGATCTGAACTGTTACTTGCTAATTTGAATACGTAACATTTCCAATTTGAGATATGATCTCAGCCACACTTACTACCATAGTTTTACTGTAGTTGTGTAATGTGTAATTATCTACAATTCTCTACAAGTTGTCGATCATAACGGATCCATTTGGGTGCACATGGCTCAGGTAATTCCCGCCCGTCCCTTTTGGTTTTCTTCACGTCTGTAAGGGCTTGTTCTGCTTTAAGTCAATCAAGGAACTTCCAAATTGTGGGCTTCGAGCAGGAGAGCATTCAATAAAATCGGTGATGCCAACCTTCTGATCACATCAGCATTAGAACAATGGGAGCAACGTCACGAGATTACCCGTGAGCTTATGAAATACGAATGTGAACCGAAATTTTACAATATGATCCAAAATTCGGACAGATGTCGCCAAAAACGACTCTTGTCGGACAGCCACATCTGTCCAAAATCCCTAATTCGGCTGTCGGACAGATGTCGCTGTCGGACAGATGTCGCCCAATCGGTTTTCAAGGAAGTCTGACTGGTATAGAGTTCAGCAGCCAGACTGACACCTCATTCCCTTTACTAACACAAATACTAACTAACAGTGCAACATCAGCTCCTTCTGCTGCTGCACTTAGTGGAGATAACACTCCCAAAATAGGAGACTCCGCGTTTGTCTACTGGTGGGGATACGGGTGGTTCACTGCCACTATCAAAAACTGGCTACCAGACGACCTGAACTACATGATCAAGTGGACTGACGGGGACTGGTCTGCTGAAGCTGCCAGTTACAAGAATCTGTGTGTGGATAAAGTGCCGGATCCTGCTATTATCGGAGTAGGAACCAAGGTCCTCTTTCAGCGAAGCCTCTTTTTCTGTGGGCACAATGATGATGGCACAGTGTGTGACAACTCGGGAAGGAACCTGACCGAGGAGAAAAAGAAGTAAATAGCAGATCTTGGTCATATCTCAGACCGCTGGCACATGGGAAGAATTACTAGTATAACGAAAAATGAAGAGGGAGAAACGGTGTACAATGGGAGACATGTGGATAAATCAGACCCCCAAGTCTCTAGTGATACCTACGAAGGATACACAGTCACATTTGACGGTCTTACCGTCTTACCCTCACCCAACTAAGAACTCCACAAAAAATGAACTAAATTGCCCGTATCTTTGTTCGCGATATTCGCGGAATTGATTTCATTTAAATTGTAACAACTCAATCAGTTTTCAAATTTTTTGCATGAAATTTTCGAAATCGACTCGAAATCGCATTTCGACTTTACTTTGAGAACGGATTTTTGATATAGGCCTCCAAAAAAATTTGGCGGCCAAATTCCAAAATTTTCACACAAAAATTCAGAATTTGGCCGCCAAATTTTGAGATCAATTCCGCGAATATCGGAATATAGTAGGGGACTCTGTTGTCGCTCACTACACTGCCTGGCAGTTCTTCCCAGCTAGAGTGGCCAGCTTTGACAAGAGCTCCCTGAAATACACTGTGGATTGGGAGGATCCTGACCCAAGCTGCAGAGTTCAGCCTTACAACCTAGTGGCGATTAAATTAATGTCATGGCAACGGATGAAATGATCGGAATAGGATCTAGCATTTTGTTTAAGCAGGGGGTCTACGCGTTCGGTGACTCTACTGGAGATGTTTGGAATCTGGGGGAGATCACTAGTATTGTGGAGGAAGATGGTGTCAAGTTGTACTCGGGAGTGCACTCAAAAACAGCAGCAGACGGGTTGGCGGTTGCTACCTTGCCGTCTTACAGACCCATATTTGAGCGAGCAAGGAGTCAAGACTTGAGGCTGTTTCCTAATGCGATGGAAATGTTACAGGTGTACAAAAACCAAACAGTTTAAAAGAATCCCGACCCAACTTCACAAAGACTGCTAAAAATATTTTAAAACTTCACATGCTTTTCAAATTATATATCAACTTCAAGTACACGCATACCTTATAGGCTATAAATTAATCATTTCTTGCGGTATCAGGTTGAAATTTTGCTCGCCAGCTATTCACATCTATATTTCAAGGTGTGTGTAAAATCTTGATATCGTATCTAAAAAGGCTGGTGTGTTATAAATTTGTAAAGTTAAAAACAGTCAAAAAGTTGAAATTGTCTTTTTCAGACTTATTTTAACCAAAAAGTCAGTCAGGGAAGATCGGATTGATTTGATGGTTGACATGAACTTGTTCTCTGAATTCTGGCGCAGTTTTTGATGCCCTCAAAAATGTTTTTCCTCATTTATCTTCAGATCTATTGGACTTCAAAGCCAAACAAAACATTTAGGCACATTTTTCGTTTTTCATATTTACTGATTTTTCTAAAATTTTGATAGGAATGTGCTAGTGACTTTTTGAAGGGCGCAAAATAACCGCAACTAGCACATTAATATATGAGTTATGAAGAACAAAACACCCTTAAATGCTTCCCTTTGAAGTTATTGGAGAAAATGTGATTTTTTGGCTTTGCAGATAAAAAATCACAAAAAACCAAAATTTTCTATATAAACTCATTATCGGACATGCACAGTGTGCGGTATGTGTTCAGTAATTTGTTTTGTAATTTATTAATGACTGGAAAAACAAAAATCCGCGATTCTTCTTAAAAGTTTTACATAATGTGACAATCGGATCATATCTTCTCCGTGTTTTAAGTTTCTAACAATGTTGATCATGGGTTCTGAATCCGTATTGGTGGTTGTATCAGTTTAATACTGATATAGCAGTGTGGGCTTTGTGCTTCTTTATCCGCTGCATTCTTTCAATACTGTGTAGGCCGTTTGGTTTTTTATCCTCTGCATTTTATGATCTTTAGTTGAAATGTGGTCGTTGCCTGAAATTTCTGGTGTCATTTTTAGATAAAAATTAAACAGTTTACACTTTACTGTTTAAGTGTTTACCTGCGTTTTACATATGACTGTTGTTGGATTCTTTTCTGTCGTCAAATCAAATTGCAAAATGTTGCATCTTAAGATTTTGTAGCAAATACAAAACATTGTATCCTCTGATTAAAATGAGATAAGAACTAAAACGTTGACTTTCTAAATTAAATATGCTGAGTGAAATACTGACTGGTATTACAGAGTGCGGTGGAGGGTATACAGTAGTCCTCGTGCTACTGGTAGAAGTGCCGTGTAGTCCTCGTGCTACTAATAGAAGTGCCGTATAGTCCTCGTACTACTGGTAGAAGTGCCGTGTAGTCCTCGTGCTACAGGTAGAAGTGCCGTGTAGTCCTCGTGCTACTGGTAGAAGTGCCGTGTAGTCCTCGTACTACTGGTAGAAGTGCCGTGTAGTCCTCGTACTACTGGTAGAAGTGCCGTGTAGTCCTCGTACTACTGGTAGAAGTGCCGTGTAGTCCTCGTGCTACTGGTAGAAGTGCCGTGTAGTCCTCGTGCTACTGGTAGAAGTGCCGTGTAGTCCTCGTACTACTGGTAGAAGTGCCGTGTAGTCCTTGTGCTACTGGTAGAAGTGCCGTGTAGTCCTCGTGCTACTGGTAGAAGTGCCGTGTAGTCCTCGTGCTACTGGTAGAAGTGCCGTGTAGTCCTCCTACTACTGGTAGAAGTGCCGTGTAGTCCTCGTGCTACTGGTAGAAGTGCCGTATAGTCCTCGTACTACTGGTAGAAGTGCCGTGTAGAAACATTGCTAACTACTTAATTACACTTTATCGTCATAATCACTGAGCCGATGCAGATCCAACGTTTTTCATTCTAGACGAAGATAACGGTTAACATATCGTGAATAATGATTCTTAGTTTTTGCTGATCAATATCGTTTATAAATTCCAACATTGATCAATATAAGATCCTAAATGTTTTGATGTTTGCTTTGGTATAAGAATCTAGATCACATTTGCAAGTTATAGATTTTTTCTGTTTATCAGTAGATCAAGGATATATTTACGAACAGACCCTTAAAAGCGTAATTTGTGTACAGGTTATTAAATCTAAATAATGTGACAATAAGATATTCTCTTAACTCAAATCTGAGACTATCGTGATAATACAATTTTCGATTTCCGGTAACAAAAATCAACGACAGAAATACAACTAATAACCATACATGCTATCTAAAAATATTTAACATTTCAAACTTAATCCATAGCTAGTGTAAAGTTTTTTTGCCTTAAGCCCTTGTCCATTCCGTTTTTGAATGCGTTCTTCACGTGTCATACATGATTAGATCACGTGCCTTAACAACCGTAACATTTTTCTTTTGTTATATCAGTGTCCTTGTCATTGGACGTCGTAAAGTAGATATTGTTAGTGTCCTCGTCTAATACTTCGTATTTTTTGGGATAGCTATAGTAACCTTTCCTTATATTTCCAATTGTTACTCCTATCTTGTTAACGTAAACATCATTGGAGGAGTCGGACTGCAGAGATATCTCAAGTGGCTTAGTGATGTCGAAGGCTATGTTGCAACCATTGGGCCCATATACTATATCGTCGTCAAGGTCGTCATTGTCTGGGTCATCCCACAATGCCCAAGTTTCACATTGAATATACTTACTTGTAACACCTGCCTGTCTGATTTTCATCCACAGATAAGCTGTTGTTCCTGCATCGGTTACGTCAGGTATAGTAATCCATAGCCTACGCACATCCCGGCAAACATTATGCCATCTTGACTCAGTTTCCAATGTAATATCACCTGTACAGCTTCGTCCGTGAATGTTTTTAGTGTCGTTATCACACCTTCTCTTTCTGGTCCTCGTTTGCGTGTACCCCGACCCGAGCTTGGACTTTTCGGATTGTCCACATTCTCCTGCACTCCAGCTACTCCAAGCTCCCCAAGGAGTCAAAGTACCGTCTTTAACGTCTGGGGTGCAAGCAGGGAAATTAATGTAGTGTGCTTTACAGTGGTCACATCGGGATCCTGCCATGTTTTCCTTGCACGTACACTGACCAGAGCGAGAGCTGCAGATACTGTCTGTCACCCCTGTTTCCTCACAACTGCATTTCACGCAGTTTGATCCATCCTTATAGTAGCCCGGTTCACAGTACTCACAGAAGGGGTATCCAGTGTGTCCCGTTTTGCAGACTCCGCAGTCCGCTCCAGCGACATTGGCCCTACACAGGCAGGCCCCGGTGGTTCCATCGCAACTTTGAAGTCCATGTTCATTACAGTTGCACGCCATGCATTCCTTGCCCACCAGATTAGCGTTTGTGTAAGACCCTTCCAAACATTCGCACATGTAGCTCCCTACAGTGTTCTTGCACGACCCTAGTTGGCTTCGAAGCAGACATTTGTTATACCCAACCATACCGAAGGAACACTCATTCTCATCCTTGCACTTTCCATCAGACCCAACGGTGTATCCCTCCGGACAGGTACACATAAATAGACTCTCAGTTTCCGTGCACGTACCCCCGAATCCACAGAAATCAAATTTAGCGCACTCCTTTATATCCATCTTCATAGTTCGTGACCAAACACCTCGCAATACCTTGGGTCCTATAGGGTTGCATCAATAACATACATGTATCTATATTTTGAATATCGGCATAAGAAAGTGACAATGAAATATGTTGAGTGGGCTATAAGTTAGTGCGAATACGTTTGGGCTTATAACTTTATAACATAGCCAATAGCCATTCTTCATGCTTGAGACTTGTTATGTAACTGATGGTATAGGTACTGTTACACTTACTACTCATTCGAGTACTAACGCGAGTATAACTTCTCACATTCGAATACCAAAGAGATGTTTTGAATAATGGACGCATAGAATATTCATCGGCTAATTCTTACCTTGAACCACTAGCTCGCAAATAGTGAGAGGGTGATTGTTCTGCACTATTTTGACACCCCCTCCAACAGCACCGCCACACTCGACCTCGTACACTGTCTTCCCTGCTCTGTAAACCACTGCACCACAAAGTACCTCCCCCACGTAGACCTACAAAGGTGAAATTTAAGTATGAAATATCAAGCAAATTTAAAAACTGCTTCCACGAAGGTTAGAATCTAAAGTTACACTAGTTTTACCTTAGCACCATCGATCCTGTTGGAGCAGCAGTCCTTCCTGTTGTAAATGACAACCTTGTTAACTGCAGATACCTCAGCAAGAGAAGCCATCCACCAACTTTCTGGTGCTGCGTCCGTGTGTGAGCAGGAACTGCAAATATTATTTTTACAACCTCATTGTGTAATACACTATTAACATGAATTACTATAAGTAGTAGTACTAATTAAGGTTACTTAGCATCTTTAGTCTACCAATTTACAATTTTGATATTAATCATCCTATCAGATGCAATACGTTATTTCAAACAATATTAGATGTGAACTTACTTTTTGGAATATGCTCCATCTGTGTTACCATCAATAGCTCTGTTCGCATCTCCACTCCATACGGTAGTACTTTGACTGGCAGATCTCAACTCCAACTGCTCCCCGGATCCTGCAAGATTCGCAAATTATTACAAAACTGAATACTTTTTCACACTTTAGGATAAGGTAACTTAAGTCATTTTTAGTTTACAACTACTCTGGGGATGAATTGTTTAAAACATATAAGTGATACGGAAAGTTTGTTTAGTAGGAGCTTCCAAAATACATTATAATTATAAGATTATAGACACGTGATAGAGACGTGGCAATAATTAACCTGAGTCAGAGCATGTTGGCAGCTCGCAGTCCTCCATTCTGGGTGTAGTTCCTTCATTAGAGTAACACCACAACCTCGGCTCACTGAAAGGGTGAGTTGTGAGACCTAAGTGTTGCAATAGTTACCTAATATTGATATTTACCTAGTATTAATAATAACTTAATCACTTTAAATGCGATAAACCAATGCAACACAATCAAGGATTAACATGCAATGGAGAGTGTCAACTGCAAAAGTTAATTCTCGGGTAGGTTAATCATGGATTTCGTATTGCCCCAATAAAGCAATGTTACTGTAACAATAAAGCAATAAGCAATGTTACTGTAACTGTTACTGTAACAATAAAGCAATAAGCAATGTTACTGTAACTGTTACTGTAACAATAAAGCAATAAGCAATGTTACTGTAACTGTTACTGTAACAATAAAGCAATAAGCAATGTTACTGTAACTGTTACTGTAACAATAAAGTAATGTTACTGTAACAATAAAGCAATAGTACTGTAACAATAAAGAAATGTTACTGTATAACGATAACAATAAAGCAATGAAGCAATGGTACTGTAACAATAAAGAAATGTTACTGTATAACGATAAAGCAATGTTACTGTAACAATAAAGCAATGAAGCAATGTTACTGTAACAATAAAGCAATGTTACTGTAACAATAAAGCAATGTTACTGTAACAATAAAGCAATGAAGCAGTGTTACTGTAACAATAAAGCAATGTTACTGTAACAATAAAGCAATGTTACTGTAACAATAAAGCAATGGTATTGTAACAATAAAGCAATGGTACTGTTACAATAAAACAATTTTACTGTAACAATAAAGCAATGTTACTGTATCAATAGAGCAATGTTACTGTAATAATAAAGCAATGTTACTGTAACAATAAAGCAATGTTACTGTAACAATAAAGCAATGTTACTGTAACAATAAAGCAATGTTACTGTAACAATAAAGCAATGGTACTGTAACAATAAAGCAATGGTACTGTTACAATAAAACAATTTTACTGTAACAATAAAGCAATGATACTGTATCAATAGAGCAATGTTACTGTAATAATAAAGCAATGTTACTGTAACAATAAAGCAATGTTACTGTAACAATAAAGCAATGTTACTGTAACAATAAAGCAATGTTACTGTAACAATAAAGCAATGTTACTGTAACAATAAAGCAATGTTACTGTAACAATAAAGCAATGTTACTGTAACAATAAAGCAATGTTACTGTAACAATAAAGCAATTTTACTGTAACAATAAAGCAATGTTACTGTAACAATAAAGCAACGTTACTGTAACAATAAAACAATGTTATTGTAACAATAAAGCATTATTAGTGTAACAATAAAGAAATAAAGCAATGTTACTGTTACAATAAAGCAATTTTACTGTAACAATAAAGCAATGTTACTGTAACAATAAAGCAATGTTACTGTAACAATAAAGAAATGTTACTGTATAACGATAACAATAAAGCAATGAAGCAATGGTACTGTAACAATAAAGAAATGTTACTGTATAACGATAAAGCAATGTTACTGTAACAATAAAGCAATGAAGCAATGTTACTGTAACAATAAAGCAATGTTACTGTAACAATAAAGCAATGTTACTGTAACAATAAAGCAATGAAGCAGTGTTACTGTAACAATAAAGCAATGTTACTGTAACAATAAAGCAATGTTACTGTAACAATAAAGCAATGGTATTGTAACAATAAAGCAATGGTACTGTTACAATAAAACAATTTTACTGTAACAATAAAGCAATGTTACTGTATCAATAGAGCAATGTTACTGTAATAATAAAGCAATGTTACTGTAACAATAAAGCAATGTTACTGTAACAATAAAGCAATGTTACTGTAACAATAAAGCAATGTTACTGTAACAATAAAGCAATGGTACTGTAACAATAAAGCAATGGTACTGTTACAATAAAACAATTTTACTGTAACAATAAAGCAATGATACTGTATCAATAGAGCAATGTTACTGTAATAATAAAGCAATGTTACTGTAACAATAAAGCAATGTTACTGTAACAATAAAGCAATGTTACTGTAACAATAAAGCAATGTTACTGTAACAATAAAGCAATGTTACTGTAACAATAAAGCAATGTTACTGTAACAATAAAGCAATGTTACTGTAACAATAAAGCAATGTTACTGTAACAATAAAGCAATGTTACTGTAACAATAAAGCAATTTTACTGTAACAATAAAGCAATGTTACTGTAACAATAAAGCAACGTTACTGTAACAATAAAACAATGTTATTGTTACAATAAAGCATTATTACTGTAACAATAAAGAAATAAAGCAATGTTACTGTTACAATAAAGCAATTTTACTGTAACAATAAAGCAATGTTACTGTAACAATAAAGCAATGTTACTGTAACAATAAAGCAATGTTACTGTAACAATAAAGCAATGTTACTGTAACAATAAAACAATGTTATTGAAACAATAAAGCATTATTACTGTAACAATAAAGAAATAAAGCAATGTTACTGTTACAATAAAGCAATTTTACTGTAACAATAAAACAATGTTACTGTAACAATAAAGCAATGTTACTGTAACAATAAAGCAATGTTACTGTAACAATAAAGCAATAAGCATGTCACCATGGTTGCTGCAACACTAAACCTACCCGTCTGGGTTTCTACAGTAATTATTTCCAGTAAGACCTCCTCTCGGGTAGCTGAAACAACAAGGGTTTGTCTTTGGAATAAAAAACATTGATTATAAGTTGATTTACATTGCTGTGATTCAAGTCACCTAGAATAAGAATCATTGAATATCGTATCCTATTGGTAGATTTCTTTGACACATAATAGATAAAATATTGTATCAAATAAAACCAAAATTAATACTTCGAAGGGGTTCTTCCGTGTATGTTGGGTAGCAGAGAGTCCCATCGTTGGCATTGACGCCCCGATATGGTTGCAGCAGTGTATCCTCTATAATTCGAACCACTGGTGTCATTATCTTCCACACAGTCACCTATGGGAGGCTAACGTTATTCTAACGTCCACACCAGAAGAGGATTTGATTACATTTCCATTTAAAGAATAACCATGAAATATGTTTCGGATTGCATCTGTGTGACAGTGAATAACCAGATATAGACTAACTGAAGTAAGAACAGCACTTCAAAGGCATAATGGATTCTTCCAACAAGCTAAATAAACATTTATGATGAAATATAACAATATTTTAACCGATTGGGCGATAGTAATCTGTAGCAGTGTCGTCGGCATTGAAGATAATTTTATCTGTGTCTCTAGTGTCATAAACCCAACTCTCATGATGAGTACAAGAAGACATTTGTACATCCACCAACAGCACACCATTGCACTTTATCTTTACACTGTTATCTAATCTGAAGATTGTCCAAACTTTATCTGTCTCCACCGGAACGTAGTTAAGTGTTGACTTCGTTTCCATGCATCTGTGCAATCTATACTGCATGGGGTTAGTAAAATAAAGTGTTAAACCCCCAGCTGCGTATATCACCATATCCACAAAACTAACGTCCACCATATCTCCACTCCCTGTTGTACTGTCTGTTTTGATTTGTAACGGTGTTTCTCTCACGTTTAGAAATATTGAGTGTCTTCCGATTGAAGGCGGAGCTTTCCAATCTAATAAATGATTACTACTGTTAGTGTACAGTTATATCATTGTCTTGAGTCGCTGTCTTAAAAAGTGTAATTTTAAATTCCCTCTTATAAGTTTTGAATTCTGTACCAGGAAGTGGGGAAGAACTACAAAATTCTGCAGACACATGTATGCTATAACTGATCAGTCATATTTTACCTAATTTGAATATTTTACCAAATATTTTACCTAATTTGAATACCAATAAAAATATATATTTTGATATATATATATATTTCTCACCTTGTTGTGGAGTAGGTGCGAGGCAGGTGGATTCTGTGACAGCATGTCCATTGGCATCAGCAAAGTAAGAACCAGACGGAGCGGCGGATAGTGTTCTTTTTTCTCCGATATCGTAGTATTTGTTATAAAAGGAGTCTAAGCATTTGTACACACATGCAAGGTTATTAACATTGACAGCCCAGGAGCTATCTCTTTGGCAGAGTACCTCAGAAATCACCTCTCCTGTGGATAGTAGCACCAGAGATTTGTTAGGATCAGAGCACTGCATGGGGACAGACTGGCCGGGGTAGGTCACAGAACTGGTGCATCCACCTCCTAGCATGTCAGGCAGGGAAAATGCCGGGCAACTTTTT